GTCCCTGCTGAGATCATCACAAATCACTCTGAATCCCAGCCCCAGCCCCACCCCCAACTCCCGTCCTGGACTCTAAACAATTTCTTCCAGGCACATCAGTGGCCTCGAGCTAAATGCTGAACTGTGTGTTTCCTGCTCGGAGGGATCCGTTATCGCTGACTCTGCAAGGGCTGCTCTAAATGCTTGCGAGCTGGGGAAGGGGTCTGGCGGAGAGAGGGCAGGCCCCAGGGTACAACGCAGCCCTCCCCCAGGCAGCTCAGTGCCCCCCTATTTAAGGAGCAGGAGCTACCTGAGAGAGGGGGTCATGCTTAAATGCATTTTTTTTAAAGGTATTACACCAGACACTTTCTGCAAGCCAGAGACGGAGGGAGGGGTGGCCAGGGAAGAGAAGGGGATCTGGTTAACGGGAGAAGTAGAAATTGGAGCGGCAAATAGAATGGAGGTTGTGGAAGAATGCCAAAGCCCTTTTTGGCCTGGGATTAAGACCTTCCAGAGAGCTCCCAGGTCTAAGGGACCGCTCAAGTTCCATTCACATCCATGAACATTTACTGAGAGTCGGCCTTGATGTCAAAGTCACAAAGGTGGCTGCCAGGATCACCTTGTAGCTTTGAGAGTCAAAAGACATTAAGTCTGACCCCTACCTCACCTTGTAGGTCAAAGACCCAATGTCACTTTCAGCCTCCCTCTGCGCTTCCTGAATGTGGACTTTAAATTTCTCCCAGTTGGCTCTGGCTCCCAGCATGTGTTTCTGCTTCAGTGACTCAGCTTATACCCTGCAAGCACCATCTCTTTTCCACATCACCTGCCGTGGACACATCCTGACCTCCTCTCCCTCCCTTACCAGCGCCCCTACCCCAAGACTGTGTGAGAGGCAGACTCAGCTGAAGGTTATCCTGGCAACTGGAAGAATTCTCAATACCCTCCTGCACCCACATCTCCATCCAAGGCACCATCCTGGTCCCAGGCACCTTCCGGTCTCCCCGCGTGGTCTGACCTCTGCCTCTCTTTCCAGTCTGGTCTTACCCCACCCACTCCCGTGCACCCTGAGATCTATCCGCTCTCACATTCTTCACTTTATTGAATGCACCACACCCATTCCTGCCTCAGGGCCTTTGCATATGCCGTTTGCTCTGTCTGCATTGCTCTTTCTCTGTTCTTCCCCTGAGGAAGTAAGAAAGGACTCTTACTCAGATCTCAGCACAAATGTCACTTATTTGGTGAGGGTTCCCATGACTCCCCAAGCTAACCATTTACCAGTGTGTCCTACTCTTCATTAATGTTTTGCTTTGTTTTGCACATCACAATTTACATGTGAGTGAGTGAGTGAGTATGTGTGTATGTGTGTTAAATGTCAAGCTCTCCCACCAGATTGGAAGCTGTCTGAAGGCAGGGATCAAATGTCTAGTGGATCGTGAACAAATACTTGTTAAAACAAACCAACGGCAGTTGAATTAATAAACAAATGTGTGTATAGGTTACAGAAGTAGTTGAAGAGGAGCGGTAAGTACCTCTGCCACATTGAGGGAGGCTTCAGAGGGACGGCAACACTGAAGGAGGGTTTGAGGTACAAAAATATGCACAGATCAAAGAACTGACGTTCTCTGGAGAGAACGGCCAGGCGTACAGAAGAGAATGCGTATTCAGGGGAATCACACATGGTTTCATCTGACTGGGGACTTAAATACAAGAGAAAAGGGGGTTGGAGATGAGACTAGAAAGATGGGCAGGAGATGGAGTTAGAACTTAATAACAAGGCAATGAGGAGCTGGCAAAGGACTGTGGGCAGGAGTGATGTGGGCAGAGCTGATTTCAGAATCAGGACACTGGTGCCCGTGGGGAGGGAAGAGGCCAGGGAGGGTTGGGTAGGGTTCACCCCAGAGCACGGGCTTGTGGGTGGAGATAGTCAGTCGGGTTTGGGACATACTGAGTGGGAGACACCTACAGTCACCCAGATGGGGGTGTCCATGATCTGTGATCAGGAGCACCCAGGCCGGATGTGCTAGTCCGGGAAGCCAGCTCGGAGGCAGCACCTGAGGCCAAGAGCACAGATGAGAGGGCCCAGGAAAAATGTAGGGGGTTACAAGCTCCCAGGCTCCTTCCAGTCCTGACAGCCGGTGATTTCATGAGAGCTGGAAGCTCTGTTTGCAAAGGGAAGGGGAGGCGTAGAGTTCGTGCTCCCAGCTCCAGACGCAGGAGCCAGAGGGAAGGGGGAGAGACGGAAAGGCCTTATTATCCTCCATCTCCTGGCATCAGGCGACGCTCAGGCTGGCCTCTGATTGCTGGCGCTAATGAAATGGCACGCCTGTGGCCTGGCAACCTGTAATCAGGGGCTCACAAGGCGGGGCCCGGCTGCCAAGGCTGCTGGTTCCATCCCCCCGAGACGCAGCAGGTTGGAACTCCACGTGCCTTAGAGACGCACAGCTGGTCTTCTGCAGGGTAGGTTTTCGCCCCAGATGCTGGCCTTTCAGAGGGACCGGGACCAGCGGAGTGTTCACTAGCAAAGGTCAGAATCTATGTTTCATGAAGAACAAGCAAAGAACTGACTTCTTAACCCAGGAAACAGAAAGCACAAACTCCAGGACACTGCCCTGGGCCAGACCAGCAAATACGGCTGTGAGCTCCCCGTCCCTGGGAGTGAAATCTGAACATCCCAGCAGAGATGACGGCATAGAGTGGGTCAAATCTTGAAGCAGGGCTCAGTAGGGTGACTCTTGAGGCCCCTTCTGACCTTTAGAGCCTGAGACTTAACAATCCACATGCCAACTTTTCTCTGGGAATCCATTCTCACGTCTCATATCCCCAAATCCAGAGAGTTCTACCCAGCATCTCGCTTCAGACCCTCTGGCCAGTCTCAGCTCCATGAGCCCACACAAAGTGGCTAAAAGCATCTGGGGCCACACATCCCCTTTAGCCAAATCCTCCCGGTCCCTCCCTCTCTGCCCAAAGACCACCCTCCCCAACCCCCCACCCCAGCCCTGCCAGCCTGTGTAAGAGCTGGGCCCCAGGAAAAGGAAGACAGGAGCCCAGATGTCAACATTATGCAAATGGAAATTGATCACCACCAGACCCAGCGTTGGCACCTCCCCACTGCGTCTGGCCGTGATTTTCCAGCTCGATATTGTGGGTGACCCTCTGGGAAGATCACTCCATTCAAGCCACAGAGAGGAAGTGGGGGTCTGTGCTGGAGGGAGCTTCGCTGAACATCATCTTCACCCTCAGGATGGGGACCTGTCATCTTAGCGTTCCCTTTACACAGCTGGAGGCGCTGCTGTGGCGGCTGCATCCTCCCTCTGTGTTGCTTGTGAGTTTGACCAGCCAGCACCTCTCACCACCCGTCCCTTACCTGAGGCCCCTGATTGGCCAATGGTACCACACATGAGCCCTGGATCACCGAAGCAGGACCCAGGATGCAGGATGCAGCAGAGAGCTGGATGTACTGCTGACTCCTGTTCACTCAATGGCCATCTTAGTTAAGATGTAGTTCCCGGAGGCTGCTAAAGGGGTAAAGTTGAACAACCTGGCCATACAGGGAGAGCCAACACCTCATAAGAGCAAAGTTTGACAATTGGGAGAAGGGAGATGGTAGCAAAATTCTTCTACCTTCCTCCCCTGGACAGATGGGAGATACTGATACCTTCACACGGCCCTCTGCAGGGGTCTGACGGAGCTGTGCCTTGAGCTGTACAAAGCTGGTCGACCCAGCGGCATACGTCCTGAGATCTCCAGAACATCTCCCCTGCCTCACTGCCCCAATCCCATTCTTGCTTCCTGGGACCACCTTCTCCAAAAGCCGTAATACACGAGCTTCTGCCTAAGGTTCTGTTTTCTCGGAAACTTGAACTAATCAATCACATAGCCATGAGTTCTTATAAGGATTAAATTCTAGGCCTGCAAGAACCTTAGGCTTCAACTCATCCACTCCCACTTGCCAGGCTCACCAGGGAGTCTCCTTAAGTCCAACTTTTCTGACTCAAAGGACTATCATGGGACATCCTCGGCCCCAGTCTGCTTCCTCAGAGGGGCATAAGATGGGGCACTGCTTGCCAACAGGGTAGCATCAGGGACTCCCTGACTGTAGGAATCCTTGAAGTGGTCCCCAGAGCAGCACAGCTCAGAAGCAAGGGGCAAGACCCCCATCAGGCAGGTGCAAGAATCTCCCTATGCCACAAGAGCCAGTATCTCTTATAGCAACTAGGGCTCTCTGAAAGGGACATGCTTGGTCATGGGTGTCTTTGGGGCAGCTGTACCAGGAGGTCCCAGAGCTTGGCAGTGCACAGGGCAAACATTCTGCCCGTTTGGATCACAGATGAGGTGACATGGCTTTTATTTGCAGCAGGGGTGGGGGCTTCTCAATTCAGCAAACACACTCCTGATTCTGCAACTTCCAAATCATAGCAGTGGCAGCAGCTCCTGTGGCAGCCCAGTTCTGTGTGTGGTTTTGGGAGATGCTCCTGAAATTTCAACCTAGAAATCTGTTTTTTCACTGCTCCCAACGGTTCTGTAAGTAATGTAATACTCCACAGTAAGACCATTAGGGATTTTGCACCTGAACCCCAACCAATACAAATACAAACATCTCTCCCAATTCCCTTATTCAGACATGGTAAATCGAGACCTAGAAAAGGCAAGGGACTGAGCCAAGTTCACCTGAGGGTTGGTGTGTAAGACCTTCTTAGTCTAACCCTGTGCTCTTCTCACATGACTCCAGTGGCAGAGAGGAGGTAAATACTGGGAAACATCGCAGCAAGAACCAGGGCTTACTTCAGACAATGAGTCCGTTGGTCTGGAGGCATCTTTTCTTAATTTAGAAAAGTTGTATACGTTGGCACTGAGTGCTCCAAGGAAGATGTTAGGTCAGAAGCCATTTCCTCCTCCCAGAAATCCACTGCAAGCCCCCAGGTTACCTGTCTGGAAAGCTCTGAAGTTAACTGGAAATAACATAGGGCATTGTTAGAAAAAACAGTGAAAGTTTGACACAGCATTTAAATATAATAAATACAGTGTTCACTCTGGCAGCATGTACACTAGAATTGGAACTATATAAAGAAGATTAACATGGCCCCATGTGCAAAGATGACACACAAATTTGAGAAGCATTCCATATTTTTTAAAAGTTGTGGTCTATATACACAACGGAATACTACTCAGCCATAAAAAAGAATGAAATAATGCCATTTGCAGCAACATAGATGGAACTGGAGATTGTCATCTGAAGTGCAGTAAGAAAGAGAAAGAATAATACCACATGATATCATTTATATGTAGAATCTAAAAAAAAGACATAAATGAACTTACTTACAAAACAGAAACAGACTCACAGACATAGAAAACAAACTTATGGTTAACAGGGGTTAAGGGGGTTGAGGGATAAATTGGGAGTTCGGGATTTGCAGATACTAACTGTTATATATAAAATAGATAAACAACAAGGTCCTACTGTATAGAACAGGGAACTATATTCAATATCTTGTAATAGCCTATAACAAAAAAAGAACATGAAAAAGAATACACATACACATATATTTATATATATAACTGAACCACTATGTGATACACCAGAAATTAACACAACATGGTAAACCAACTATACTTCAATAAAAATAAATAATAAATAAATTAATATAATAAATACAAATTCTAGGAGATGCATGTTCCCAACATGAACCAGATTTGTCAATATTAAAAATCATCTCAGTAATGATAAAAAAAAAAGTGGCTGCCTCTGGTGAGTTTAATTGTAGGAGCTCTGTTGCTTTTATTTTCCAATTATTTTCTTTTTCAATCATATCGTTTCATTCTTAGAGCAGATACAAGTATTCTTTTTATTAAACAAGATTTAATTATTAAAACAGTAATTTATGTTAATGATTATATGTTTATTATACATTAAATATAATAAATATACATTACCTATGTACATTAAATACATTAAATATATATTTTGATATATAATATATTATATTTTGTTAAATATACACTATATATGTTTGGAGAGTCCTGATTTCATAACAAAGGCTAGTTATGTAAGCTAATAAATTTGGCTATATGAAATACTGATTTTAAAAAAATACCTCCTACAGCCGTCTACTCCTTTACTCCTGAATTAAAATCTTGAGGATTCAAAAAAACATTTTCTCTCATGCCAACTATATCCCTTTTTCCTTGCCAGCTCTGGTTTACAACATGATGTCTTTTTTTTTTTCACTTGCATTCTCCTTTGTTGTATTATTTTTGCAAGACTTGGCAGAGTGCTTGTGTGGTGGCCTTTCCATAGATTATCATGATGGTAAAGGCACATTTTTCTGGGTCTGTTCTAAGGACCTCTGCATTAAATAGATCTCTTCTGTCCCACAAATTTTGAAAATATGGAGTATAACTGTCAAGCTCCCATATCACAAAATATGGCAAGCAAAGCTGCAATTGCAGAGGGATTCCTGTGCATTCAGGCAGGAGAGGGCACACTTACCTACTCTCACCACTACAGTCCCCATAACATCTTCCCCTGTGCTCTGGAATTCTCAAGACTGAGACTGAAGTTGGCATTCAAGGCCCTCCTGGAAGTAGGGCATCCTCACGGCCTCTGAAGTCTGGCCCCACCTACTTTTGAAAATTAACTCTTGCTACGCCCCATCACACATCTAAATCCAGCCAAGTGCACCTTCCCTATGTGTTCCTACACTGTACCTTTACTTGCTCCATTCTCTCCTCTCGAAGGCCATCTCCTGATGGCTCACATGTCCAGCCCCTCAAGATGAACTACTATAATAAAGAAGAGCCAATAAGGTAAGCTGTTACTATGTGCATGAAGGTTCCTGCAGGGATTTTAAAGTAATGAGCATTTCCTGAATGACTAACATATATTAAGTCCTTTGCACCCATTTCCATTTAATCTGCACAACTGCCCTACAAGACCCAGTGCAAGAAAATGAGTTAACAGAATTAAGCGAGTTGCCCAAGGTCCCCCAGCTAATAAAGAATGAGGGCAGGTAGGAACCAGGCAGCTCATAACCAGAGTCAGACTCACCACTATGACATCATACCAGGTTCTGGGGAGGCAGTAGGTACACTGCAAATAATTGTCTTCACAGAAAAAGGATATAAACACTTCAGTTAAACATAGAGTTACTCCATGAGCCATTCCACCCATAGATATACATCCAAGAGGAATGAAAATGGCCACACAGAAACTTATATAAGAATGTCCATATATGCATCATTAACAACAGCCCGAAAGGTGGAAACAATAAAATTGTCCACCCACAGACAAATGAATAGATAAATGGATAAATATCCATACAGTGGAATATTATGCAGCCACAAAAATGAATGAAGTAAGGCTACCTGCTCCAACATGGCAGAACCTCAGGAATATGGCACTCAGTGGAAGAAGCCAGGCACTGAAGCCCACTGCAAGATGGTGACAGTGAGGAAAGCTCTGTGTGTGCACATGCAGGGGATCGGGGGGTATATGGAAATCTCTGGATCTTCCGCTCTATTTTGCTATGATCTTAAAACTGCACTAAAAAATAAATCTATTTTTTAAAAAAGGTCACTGTATTAGGGCTGCTGTAACCAAATACCACAACCTGGGTGGCTTAAACAGCAGAAATGTACTTTCTCACAGTTCTGGACGTTTAAAGTTCCATATCAAGGTGCCACAGGCCAGTTCCTTCCAAGGCCTCTCTCCTTGGCTTGTAGACAGTCATGCTCTCTCTGTGTCTTCACATACTCTTCCCTCTGCATGCCTCTGTATCTTAATTGCTTCTTAGAAGGGCACTGATCATATTGGGTTAGGCCCCGCCCTGCAACCTCAATTTAACTTAACTTCCTCTTTAATGGCTCTGTCTCCAAAAACAGTCACATTCTGACATACAAGGTGTTAAGACTTCAACATACAAATTTCAAAGGACACAATTCAGCTGTAAGTCATATATTATATGATTCCTTTTATGTGGACTATCCAGAATAGATGAATGTAATGAGAGAGAAAACAGATCAGTGGTTGCTGCGGCTTGTGGGGCGGGGAGGAAATGGGGAGTGATTACTTAATGGGACAAGTTCCCTTTTGGGGTGACGGAATGTTCTGAAACCAGAGAGAGGAGAGATTGCACAGCGTTGTGGCTGCACTGAACGCCACTGAATCATACGTGTCAAATGATTAATTGTATGTTACATGAATTTCACCTACATTATTTTTGAAAAGCTTATATATATAAACCTAGGTATCTCACACAGTTCCCACCTCCCCCTCTCCCTCCCCGCCTGACTTTGAGGTCTCTGCATCTCTGAGTTTTCCTAAGTATGACATAAGATTAAGTCAAGTTTGCCAAAGAAAGAAGGGAGAAAATGAGCCCAACTTCAGGAGAATGTAAATGAAAACAACGCTCCAAGCAGAGTATCAATCCAAAGAACCGACTGCTGCGCGCCTGAGACAGGCCAGGTGTGAAGTTTATGCCTTTGTTCTGGGCCCCCCGCCAGCGCTTGCTGGGGGCCCTGTAAATGCCGTTGGCTGAGAGCTGCTTCCCAGACCTTGGCCTGAGGATGGGGAGACAGAAAAACAGGGCAGCTAAATTGAGAAACATCAAGAGGCTGTATTATGCCTCCCCCGCCTATAGCCAGGGCCGCACCTCTTCTCAGGAGCCTCTGTGCCCCCTCCTCCCAGATCCCTCTGGCTCCGTAGAGTCGTGAATTTCCTCAACCCCAGGACTTCCCACGATGCATCCAGTCTGTCTCTTTACCGTGTCCCAGTCAGGACTGGGAGAGCAGGAACAGGTCTCCTTCCATCACAGACCCCCATTAACCAGCCCAGGACCTGAAACAAAAGAGATGCTCAGCTGAAGTCGGTGAAAGGAAGACAGGGAGAAATGAAGGAAAGAGGAAGGCATTTAATAGGAAGGCGATGGCATGGTTAGAAACAGTCCATTTGATCTCAAGATCCAATCATCCCAGCTCTCTGTCTCCAAAAGACCAAGGAAAACAATGTTCTGGAAATGACTCAGACAAGCACAGGCTTTGAAGACCATGAATTATACAAGACTGTCCTTACTCTCTGTCAAGACCAGACCAGCAGCATGCACAGCA